TATGCAGTCAACTTTTATTTAGTATTACACAATAAATACCGCGTCAAGGTAACAGTAATAAGAGGGGTTTTTTGTGATTTTATGCGTTTTTAATTTTTACTTGTCAAAAATTGTTCTGCTTCAAAAGTCAATTCTTGAACCTTTTTTGATTCTATCTCTCTCAATGAACTGAAATCAATGAATGTGAACAACATTTATCGTCAAGTCAGTCGTTTAGCTTGCACGCGCCGTCAAAGTTCGAGACTCGGATCCCGAAAACCCTTGATGTCATCGTTTTTTTTATGTTGCGTCGGTGATTTTTTTCTGTCATTTAAAATAAAATTAAAAATTCCAAAAAAATCACACATCATCTGAGAACTACACAGAATACTTTTCAGGGTGTAACCGATTTTTTAGACCTTTTTTCTTTAGTTTGTAGCTATGTAAGCAAAAAATTTTGATTTTTTGGAATAGTCTTAGTTTTTCACTGTTTTCAGGCCTTAGAATATACAGCATTCTAAAAGTGCCGGATGTCCTTTTCATTTCTCGGCTAATTTAAAATCGATTTTTATTCTTATCGAAAATGTTCGAGAGAAACCATCGTTTATTGTAACTTTCTCATTTCCATATATATCTCTTTAACTAACAATAAAAGACTCGTATATATTAAAATGTTATTGAAGTCAATTCTATCTGGAATTAAAACTGAAGCGAATAATTGCTATCTGCTTGGCTCCTCAAAATTTAATTTGCGAAAAGCTCATTCTCTTCGATCGCGTGTAACTCGAGAAACATCGATACCACGACAATTCCGCTGAAAAGAAAATCAAAGATCATCTAGATTAGTCATCAAAGAGACTGCCATTAAAAGGGCAAAGACTCGGTAGTTTCGGAGTACATAGCGTATTAGAGACACAGACGGTTGAAAGGGTGGAAAATTATGGGAGACGTACCTTTAGCTTTCCCGATGCCGCCGCAAATTCTCTCGCAATTGAAGCCAATGGTCGGCACGGTGTTGATATACTGATCAAATATGAGTCTGTATAGGGCGATCGTCTTCCCGGCATTGTCGAAACCAAGCATCGCCACATGGAGCAGAGTTCCCGTGCACAGTAAAAAATAAAATGTTAATCGTAACATTTTTTAAATGTCCCAGAAAGTCCACTCTAAATTTTGAGTTAAAATAACTCATTCATCGTGTGTTA